CAGGAAGGAGACGACATCTGTGGATTCCCAGTAGCTGGCATGGAAGAGGTGGGGTAAGGCGACAGTCGGAAAGGCTGTCAGAGCATCGGGACAGTACAGAGCATAGTCTATTCTTTTTGTTCCCCACCACTTGGCAGCAACTAGTAAAAGAAAAGTCTCGTTAAAGAATAAAGGGCAGGTGGTGAGAGAGCACAGCACCAAACATTCATCTCAAGTCACCGGGTTCTCACGCCAGGAAATCTCTTTCTGGCCCATTTCATTGGCTAGGCGGAGCAAAATGGGATGAGGGCTTGAAGGATTAGTGAGTTAGCCAAGGAACACGAGGCACAGAGCATGAGCTTGCCTGTTGGGAATCAAGTGGCAAGGCACTGGAGGGCAGGTCTGACTGGGCTCTTAAGCCACGCTCAAGGGGAACTAGAGGAGTACTAGGCCTCACACCCTGGTGCTCATCATAAAAACAACAAGAAGGGGCATACACACATTGTGGATGCTCCCCTGGGTGGCAGCCAGTGGGTGTCCTGTGTGGAGGTCCCCCCAACTCAGGATAGTGCTGAGCAGCATAGCTGCTGCGGGGCTGCAGTAGTCGGGGTGGGTGCCAGGTCCAGGCCATTAGGGCTGGGGATGAGCTGGTTAGGTGCCCATGGACAGCAAGTGCATCCGGTTATTGGGAAAATGTGCCACATTTTCACCTTTCACTCAGGGAACGAACCCGCTGGAACCCAGCTACCAAGTCTCGCAAGTTGACGAGCCACATGCTCATTGCTGTGGAAAGCTGCGGGACGGGCAATGGAGCCTGCGTTCTGAGAAATGCCTCAAAGCCTTAATCACCATCAGCTTGCAGGCTGCTGGCTGGCAGCATCTCAAGTGCTGCAGCGACCACTGGCTCAGCCTCCGCTGGGAGGGGTCCCAACCGTGCCCCCTGGACCCAGTGAAGGGCTCCTGAAGTCTGCAGCTCTCAGAACAGGGGATCCAACAACCTTCTGGGATGAGGTGGAGTGGGGTGGGGGTACAAGGGGCGAAGCCATGGACAACGAGTCTCCAGGCTCCATTGGCATCTACCTTGAAGGGACGAGGTGCTGCAGAGGAAGCTGGTCATTACTGGGTAATTTCAAGCCCAGCAGAAAAGCCCATGGGTGTTTTCATCCACGGTCATGTCTGGCTTCAGGCAAGAGCCCCACCCTGGAGCAACACACCCCTGGGAGTGCAGTGGATAGACAGGTGGCCCCATACCTGTATGTTCACTGGGGGAATAGCTCTCAGATCCCACCAAGACCCAAATGCGCACTGGATCCTGCTTTTCCATGGTAGCGCAGGCCAATGCTCCCCTACACTCCCAATTCCCTGTCCCCAACGCTTCTTGTATCCTGTCTGCAGACCAGTTTCAGAAGTGCCAACTGCCCGCACAGGACCCACAGCCAGTCCTTCTCACTTACCATCCCAGGCTGTGGCCACACTTTGATGCTGCACCAAGCTCCATTTTAAATGACCGCGCATTCATCTATTCAAGCCAGTGAGAAGACACATGTTCCAGCCCAAAGCTTTCAGCGCCAAAAGCAAGAGGGCTGCTTCCCCAGAAGCTGGGAGTTTCAAATATCCCCCATGCTTCATGGTGAACCAGCAGCCATAGGAAGAGATGCTCAGATCAGAGGAGTACTAGGAGGACTCATGTTTGCATGCGAGGTGCAAGCTGGGACTCTGACACAGGCTTTGCAGAGCCTGTGTTTCTTTAGTGCCTTTCTCCTGTGATCTGGATTTCCAAGAAAGCCCTTTAGTTCCAGTGATGGCAACACATCGTCTCTGGAACAAAAATCTTCAAAGATAAATTTTGGTTGGCACTCGACATCCCCAGGGCAGGGATGCACATACCTTCCCAATAGGCCCGTCACGGCAGACTGTTCTGGGTCATGACGCTGTTGCATACGTGCTCCTAGCATAGCATCAGCTGCTATAAACACAGCAGTGCTTTGCCCCCGCCAATTATTACTGCTTCCAGTAGGGACAATAAGCAGGAGGAGTTGCTGGAAGACGCTGCTTCCCATGCACCATACAGAATCAACCCACAACAGCCTTTGGTGCAGGGCTTCTAACCTAACAGCTCCCTTCTCAGGTTTCTGGACCAGGAATCAACATTTATGGTTTAAGTCCCAACTTCCCGTTCCTGTGTTTATTTTCAGAGTCTCTATGCAGAACAGCCAGGATTAACTCTTACATGCTGGGAAGGGACTGGTGAGGGCTGCAGATCAGAGCAGGGGCCCGCAAAGCTCTGCCTAGAAGAGCTCATGCTCTCGCCAGCTGTTAGTGACAGGACAGTTAATCTTCCAAGCAAAGTAGAAAGCGAGTATTTGTTAAACCCACGTCCAAAGGGTGTAAGTGCTCTGGTGAAAAAAGGTGGCAAATAGATTTGCTCAGGAGAAGGGCATTGTCCCCATCAGGCAAGCCTGGCTGGAGAGGGCAAGCCCCTCCGCTCCAGAATACCTTGTGCAAGATCCAGGTCGGGGGTCTGTAGCGCACAGTCTGGATCCTGACTCGACGGCCCCTCAAACCTTCGTCCTAAGGGACTCTGTGGCATTTCGGGTTTGAGCTGTCTATGCCTTTTGGATGAGGTCTGGGTAGGGGATTTGTGAGGGAGGGCAAGGAGGGACAGGAGGCTAAAACCTTTGCAATGGTTAAGATGAGTTTTGGTTTCTAAAGAAACAAAATAAGATAAAACCACACTTGTTATCGCAGCAGGCACATGCGAACGCAACGTCCTCCATGCTGATCAAAAAACTGAGCTCCAGGTCTCGCACACGGGAACCATTGTTCTGGAGCCGCCGCTAAGAACTTACACCTGGTTATCCACCTGGGGGCTTCCTGCCACGTCACCTGGCCTGATGCTAGAGATTTAAGGAAGGTCGAGGCTGGGAATCTTCTTCCCAGGACTCAGTAGCTGCTCAGTTGGGCTCAGGTGCCTCTCTACCCTCCCTTCTGACCGATGGCAGACTAACACGGTGAACTGCCTCTCTGCTCGGTGACTGCCATAGTCCGGAGGATGTGGCAGCACAAACAGCCTCTACGTGGGGAGGAAGAAGTCAGAGCTGAAGCTACAGAAACAACTGCCTTACCCTCATTAAGATGCCCCCAAATCCTGCCCTGCAAAAGAGACCTCCGCAGATGCCCAGGGGTGCGGATTCCCAAACAGCTCCTTTCCCTTCCTACGAAGGTGGTGTGTGAAACTGCTTCCCGTCACCCTCCCTGAGTCACACTGGTGACAGTACACGGTATACACCCCACGCTGGCCTAGCCAGGCCGATTCACTAGCAGGAGGGTTACTGGGCCAGCAACTTCAGGCACCAATTTTGCGGGAAGGGAAAGGAGCCGTCTTGCAGGAGAGGAGGGTCCTGGCTCTTTAGCAAGGGCTGACACCCCGAGACAAGTCAGCCACTGAAGTGAAACAGGCTTTGACCAAACAAATTGGTCTGGCTAAAAATCCTTTTCATCCCCAGTAGCTTAGCGCTTGCTCTGACAATGCCATCGTTTCGTTAGCTCTCTGCTAAACAAGAGACTAAACAAGCTAACTTCCTAATGCAAAACTCAGCCACGCCACCCACCCTCATTCTTCACCGCAGGCCTTTTATTTCTAAGCCAGAAATCAGCAAGGAAAGGGCACAGGCCTATTCCCACCCTCCACCCCCGCAGGCCACCTTTAAGTAATCTCTCACCAGCCACCTGCCAGATCCTACATTATTTATCTAGGTGTGCTGATTACCAGCTAGTTGTTCAGTCTACAATCATCAGCTGAGGAGCAGAAATACCCATTTGTTGTCTGAATGATGCACAGGGGCCAACTGCTTTTCAAGGTTATAGCAGATATATATCCTGAGATATATAGATGTATATATATAAGTATAACCAATAATCTTGATGAGTGTGTGAGTATGAATGTGAATGTGAGTATGAGCGTGTGAGTGTGTACACAAATTTATGCCCATAATCTCCAACGTACTCCATCATGCATAATACAGTGACAGCCCACCGTATTATAATTGCAGGCATCTGGTTCCTCCAAGGGATACATTAACATGTGTCATTGACTATGATAAAACGGAGCTGAGGTGGAACAGTTCCAGCTTCTTAATAATTGAAAATATAGTCTCCGACAACCTATTACAATCTATATCCTCCACCACTGCCAGGTTCCCAGCAAGCAGCAGAGACGGCGCCGGCCATAACATTCAGCTGTGGTATTCAGACATCCCCAGACACTGTGGTTCAAGCTCAAGCTCCAGTTCAGGGGAGCGACCAAATCTGGAGTAGAGTCCGATTTGTCTCTGCACAGACCCACTGTGTGGACCCTTTCCACACTATCTGCAGCCCCCCTCCTGGGGGGAGAAAGCAGGGAGCACCATATATCAGGAGGGTACATTTAAACAAGACATGTAATTGTAACAAGAGGACAAATAGTCTGATGGTTCAACAGTGAACAGTCCGAACAGCTGCCCGTCTCTGAAGACAGCCATTGCAAACAGGGTAAACTGGACCCGTGTCCCATAAAACATCTGTCAACACACTGCATTCCCCACCAGTGTCACACGACCGGCCCATCTAATTCAAATGGAAAAAGACATAACATTGCGACAAGTCAGGCAAGCTCTCAGAAGTACATACATTCATGAGGACACTCCAGCTGACATCAGTTTGCCAGCACATCAACAGCTGGCTGATTTTTTGCTTTGCAGGAGATAAGGGAGCTTGTTCTTATCATACCAAGGAGCGAACTCCATTTCAAATGCCATGCTCAGAGGACTCTGATAATCTTCTGTGCTGCTGTTACTCATTTTAATTGAGTGCTAGGGGAAGACCTGTAGAAGTTGCTCCTTGCGACACTCTCCACAACAGGAAATACCATCCACATTCCCCACTCCCTCCCTGCCCCATGTCTGGAAGGATCACACATCAGTACAGCGGCTCTCCCAAACCTAAGGATCTCCATTGCAAACCTGTCCAACAAACAAAGACAGAACAGATGCGCGGGTCTTCCCTGCCTGGCCTGGTGTGTAGTGCTGCTATGTTAGTGCGAGACTGAGAAGAAGTCTTGGAGGGTGCGAAACACTTACTGTTGGCTATGTTGGAAGCAGTGTAACTGTCTGCCATTCCTGAGACCTGGCTGGCAATGCTGATCTCACTGGCTCTCCGGAACCCCCTGAACTGAGGGGCTGTAATAGGGGTGGACAGGGACGCGTTTTCCATGAAGACGGCACCATGAGACTGAACAACATCTGCTATGAAGTCGAAACAGGGAAATCAAAATATTAGACCAACAAACAGAGACCGGGGCAAGACAAATGCAAGAGGAGAAAGGCAAAACAAGGCTCTCAGATGCAAAACCTTTTTTAAGAGCTGATTGGAAAGAAATGCATTTCATCTGAGCTCTACTTTGAAAAGGAAGCGAACACCACAGCAGGCAAAAGTAGGGTCAGCCGCGAGAACCCTCATCGCCGACTGAGAGCAGCAAAACAATTAGCAACAAAAATCAGGAGAGGGTTATCTAAGCAGCAATAGTAAAACCATGGGCTGTACATACACATATGAATATACACCACTGTATATATTCATGTGGTTAGCCAGAGAACTGAGAGAAGGAGAGTAACATAAAGACTTAACTGGGAGATACTGGGGTGGTTGGGGGAGTGGGGGTTGCAACATTAAAAAAAAATCTTTTCAAAAAGGAAAAAACAGAAACACAAGATTATTAGAACAAAATGCTCATGGTTTGGATAGCCAAGTTGGACCTGAATGCAGCAGTTAACTGATACAGCCAACGTTTGTGTAACTACCATTTCGGTCCTGAATCAGTATTCAGGGCTCTCTGAAATAGGTCGTCGAGGTGGGGCTGTGTACTCGCATTTCCCATACAGACCAACAGACTTTGGGAATGTCCAGTCTCCTTGAAATCTCATCTACGCTAGTGTCAATGTCTGTACTGAAGAGCCCAAATTTGGGCCTCTGGACTTGGAAAAGTTTGGCCTAATCCTTTATTTACTAAATACAATGGGATTAAGAGAGAAAATGTTGCGTGTGTGGAGAGAGAGAGACAGAGAGAGAGTGTTATTACTGGAAAACTGACCTTGAATTTCAGGCAACTGACAACAATTGCAAGACGTACGTGCGCCTGTCCTCCTCCAAGTAAAATTAAGAACGCTTTTTCTTTCTTTTGTTAAACCATATGGGAGGTAACGTATAGAGCGGCTAGCAAACCCGACTGGGAGTGCGGAGGACCCCTGGGTTCTTTTCCCAGCCGTTCCACTGATGTGTTGTGACATGCTCAAAGTCGCACTTAAACTCTGGTTTCTGTTTCCTATCTGTGACAGGTACATATCAATACTCACATACCCTCGTCACAAGGATGTTGCAAGGTTATATTCACTTGTGTGTGCGATGCACACTGAGATATCCTTGCTCCCCCCCCCTCCTGACCTTGGAGTCTGCCCCTGCCCCTGCGCTTCACAGATGGCTGGAGCCGTGCCTGGAAGGCCACTTGGCTCGTCACCCTGCCCCGTGCATACACTCCCTGCACTTTCCTCCACTCTCCATCGTGCACTGAGCTGCCAGTGATCAAGGCTGTTGCACAGTGTCTGTAGTGTAGCGTGTCACAGCACCATGCTGTGTAGGGGAACTGCACTCCAGCTGACGTTCTCCAAAAAAAAGTGGGGAGATGAAAAGGAAACAGGACACGGTCACATTCTGGGGAGTTGCACATGAAAGGGGGATTTAGGATGGTCTACAACAGGTTTTCTATCCCACTCTGGTACTAACTTGCTGTATACCTAGGGCATTGTGCAATTAGGGCATACCTAGGGCACTGACCCTTCACCTCTCTGAGCCTTTTCCCCTCCCATCCTTTGTTGTCCTGTCTATTTGCACTCCGATCTCTCTGAAGTGAAGGCTGCCTCCCTCCTATGGGTTTCTAAAGCACCTAATGAGGCCCATGGCAGCACTGCAACACAAACTCAGCTACACAGTCATGCATCCAGAGGGCCGGGAGCATGAAGGATGCAACCAGCTCGCCATGAATTCAGCACACAAGCAGCCAGGCTTCACTATGGGTGCAGAGGCAAAGCACTGGCTTTAGGTTGGGCTTAGCTAACAGCCCCTGGCTCAGCCAGATGCAAGGTGACGTCTCAAGCTTCTCTTGCAATGACTTGAGCTGGAGTTGAGCTAAACCTCTCATCTGGGATCGCCGCCAGACGAGCCAAGCCCAGACCAGCAAGGCTGCAGCAGAAAGTCTCTCCAATCCACGAGACAGTACCGTTTGCAAGCTGCATTGAAAGTCTTTTGTACCTCACAGGATTAGGGTCATGAACAAAGCAGGCAGAAGAAAGGAAGCAACCCCATTTTCAGGGGTTTTCTTTGCTTATAAAAATCTACAAAATTGCAGCAGCAGAACAGATTAAACACCCACCTGGCCTGGTAGCCTAGCTGTACCCAAAGAACAGCATTTAACACCTATGCACACAAATGCACCTAATTGCACAATGCTCTCACACCAGTTGTTGAGAGGGGGGGATTTTTTTTTCCAGTTGCAACTAGCAAGGATAACACCTAATATAGAACAACTTTTCATCATGCTCGTATAAGACTGCTGTCTGGTGGCATTGCACTTGTATAGCTCAAGAGCTGGGTAGTAAGAGTAGTAAGGAGCAGATCCTTGAATAAGACAATGATACTGGGCCACACAGCTCTCATGATCTTATCAAGAGACCGCCCGCCAATATTTAGCGCTTTTTTTTTTTTTTTTTTAAAGTCCCAGCTGCTGCCATCAGAGACTGCATGAGCATCTCTGCTTCCATTTAAAAACCAAAATTCTCCAGAAACTGTTTCTCAAAAGTTTGAAAATGTGAAGTGAGAGACCCTGGAAAGCTCAAGAACCAGGAGGCAAATAATGAGAAAATCTTTAATGTGCATCATTATTGGTATTTAAAAAAAATACATTACTTTTAAGGCAGTCTCATTATTGCCTGAAGTCTGACTCATGGCTTTTGAACACTTGGGGTTGGTCACACTGGGTATGGAGCACAAAAATTTTAACAGCACCCTAGCTGGTGTTGCCGCAAAGGCTATTTTCATTCATAATGTAACTAAACTATTTAGCCGAATCATACCCATGCTGAGGGGAAGCTATTTCTTCACAGGATGAAATGCTGGCTCTGACAGCAATGTTTCCTTACTCAGCCTACATAGCATTTGCTTTTGTGTTTTCAAAGGCTCCGTTTTATCTTTCCTTTTCTGTGGGAAAAAAGATCCCTTTTCAGGCTGTGCATCCCAACCCCATAACAGAGGGATTTCCCAAGACAAGAAAAAGGGCAGGAAACAAGGATGGAAAACTTATCCAGAAAACTGGTTCCACCCATTTCCACACTTTAGTGGGACTCGGGGATTTCCCACCATCCCAAATCCGTAAGTGAAACCAATTTGCAAACCATCTCCTGGGATGTTAGATGCCACAGGACCGTGAGGTTCACCCACAGAAATGATTGGGGAGTCACGTTACAAATTGCTTGATATAAATGACTTGAGACCGTGCCAATTCTAAGCAAGCAAATGCACCGAGTTTCAAAGCAGCTAGATTTAGACTGTGCAAATTATCTTTCTTCCCCCACCCCCATTTCATTTGATGGCACCACTTTGTCCCATGCCAAAGCCAGGATATTCAAATCAGTGGCCTAAAGCTAGATGTCAAACACAGGCACTGAACTGGGAACAGTGGTGCCAAAAACCTGCTGGAAAGTCGCTTATTTAGGTGTATGTGTTCGATAACAGCCTGAATGTTGTTCAGTAAATGCCTGATAGTAAGAGTAAGAGTAATGCAGTCTTAGAAACAGGGAATCTTGTTACAGCACCATTTCTGTGAATAGATCTGTGCTTGAAAAAAGGGGGGAAGGTGTGTGTCTGCGTGTGTCTGTGTGTGTTACAGTGAGCAGATCAGTGCCAAGTGAATAACCATGCTTCTACTGTAGTTCCAAAGTGGGGTGTGGGAGGAAGACTGTGAAGAGAGAAGCAACATACCATCTTCTCTAACCTTAAGATGAGGCTCCTTAACCCCTAACTGAAAGCTAGGTCTCTTCATTTAAAGCCTTATCCATCCATGTGCTGACTTGCACTGAGCTGCCCTCCTTCTGTAACACTGACAGCGAGTTAAGTCCGTAGGGCGCCGGGGTGGCCTGCATTCAGCAAGCAGGCTATTGCAATGCAGCCTGGTATGCTGCAAAGGAATGCAGAGCCTCTGGCATGACACAGAAGCTAGGGATGTTTAGAGTAGCAAGGGAGATTTGGGGAGAAAGTAAAAAAGAAAAACACCCCACCAAGCTCAGCACTGGCCTAGCTCTGCTCCTGCTCAAGTCAGTGATAAGACAGTGAACACCTTCGAAAATCTAACCTGCAACTTCAAAAGCAATGTAAAAGAGGCAATAACCATTCAGGAGACTTTTACAGTCCTGAAAATCCCCTGGAAGCTGTGATGCTGGAGTGCAATGTATTATGTTGTACAATCTGATCTGAACACAGCTGGGCCATGTTACACTCTCAAGATATTGGCAGAAGGGAAGAGAGTCTCATGTGTATAATCATGGCCTGTGGGCCAAAACCAGAACAACGACTTTTGTCGGTGATCTGTAGGTGGCTGTAGTCACTGCTGCGCAGTCCTTCCAGGAGGATGGAAGGTGAAATTTTTTAAAGTTCAAAAAGCTGTCAGACATCTAGTCGCCATCTGCATCATTAGAAAGCCTCTCCCTAGGTCTATCTATCTGCTGTAAGCCCAATGGGCAACTTGCTTACTCATGTGACCAAGGGCTGCAGAAGGAGCAATATTTATAAGAAGTGGGAATGCACAAAAAATTACAGGACTGGGGAAAAAAAAACAAACAAGAAGCTGGAAGTCCTATTACACTAGCAAATGCATTATCAGCCATGTAGCTGGAAGAAAATAAGCCATGCAGCGCTGATGAAAGAAATCAAAATCAGACCAGTTCTTAAAGCACAAGTTATTTGAGAAATCAATTTAAAAACCCACACACGCCACCTCTGGATCCTGAAAGTTTTGTTCACTGTGTTCAGCCGATGCAATATTTAGGTTTAAGCATGAGATGCTCATTTTTAAGCACTTTCTGGCATGGACATATGCTACCCTCCAATTTCTTGGGCAGTCCATCTGACTGCACTAGCAAGTGCTGCCCACTGTAAGCAAGGAACGAGTGTGCATTTGAACAAGAAATTCTGTGCCTGGTATAAACTGTACAAGCCCCAAAGAAAAGCAAAGTGAGCATGGGACCACAAGCCTTTCAGCAGCAGAGCCAGAGGGGAAAGACACATATTGTCTGACCTCCCTCTCCCCTTCCAGCACGAGAAATGAAAGAGGAGACAATTTGTGGCTCAATTCCCACCATTCCCACCCTTGGCTTGTGGTCCTGTACTTGGCTCAGGGCCCCTTGGGCAAGTATACATGATTATGCAGGTACTTCCCTTGTCGTACTCAGAAACACAGTGCAAAGCTTTCAGCCCCATAAGGCAGGACAGCATTCTCCAAGTAGCACCCCTGATACCCAACACAAGATCACAGAAAAGTGTAGATTACACACACTCAGCAAAAACAGCATTTTTATTGGAAACATCTTGCCAATTCAGAACAGGAACAGGGATACTGGTTTCCATGAAGTTGTCCTGGCGCTGGAGAGCAACCAATGGGCTGCTTTCCATGAGGAGGATGGGGCTGTTCTGGACTGTCTCAACTAGAAGCAGATGGGGAAGAAAACAAAAGGACAAGAACAACAGACATGTGGCTACATATTGTAAAACATACAAACAGTTACCATCAACCACTTGCAACTAGAATTCAGGCTCTTCCAAAAAGGACCACCTTCAGGTACGACAGGTAAAAGCCACCAATGTAGATGATCTTCCAAATAAGCCCAAATTCAGTGCCTTACTGGTTAAAGAGTGCGACAACACAGGAAAACAAGAACGACATTTCAAGTACAAAAAAAGATGGAAGTCCTCTCGTGTAGCTTTTCAAAATGATCACCAGACATAATGATCTAGTTTATGCAGTGGACTCCTCTTAGGGTGTGAAATATTCCTCCCCCAAAAGTGAAGACTTACTTTCTTCAGCTTTCTAATACACTGAAACTGGGGACAGTTCATTGATTTCACTACAAATGGAGCTTTGCACATTGCTGTACTCGAACTGGTTCTCTCTTCTGCATTAGGGAGGGGAAGACTGGAAGAATTGAAAGGAGACTTTCAGAGCACTGAAGCTTTACTTTATGGGAAAAGATGTAGAGGAGCAGCTCAACAGAAGGTGTTATGTGCAGCTAGCTGTGACCGAGCACCTGGACTTTACATGATTACCAAGTCATACACTTTAATTATAGTAGCAATTAACTTTCCTGGAGTGCCCTGCAGTGAACACTGTAGCTTCAATCTTAGCTTTGCAAATCACAATTAAAACAAGTCTTTTCAGTAATGTGTGAATCACAACAGTGATGTTTTGCTCCCAAATAAAGAAGGATGGCCTGTTATCTTTACGACGAGCAAATGAAAAGCTTTCACCTCATACGAAGGAAAGAGCAGAGAGCTGCTTGTTTGTCGGTCGCTTTATTCATTGCACCAGAACAATGTTCATTCTCATAACTAACCTCAAATCAGAGGAGGGTTTTAGGATCACCCTACAAATCCTGCAGTCAGAGTTATTGCTGTTTGGAGCTAGACTCACTGGAATGGAAAGAAGCTCTAACTTAAACAAGGATGCCCTAACTAATGTCAGGAAAGAAAAACAAAGTAATCCGTCCCTGCTATTGCACAGGATGATAACCTAAATGCACTGGAGCGTTGGCCTCAGGCCCCATCTAGCCACATACAGTATAAAAACCAGTTTCCAAAAGGTTGAAAACAAGTGGGGTACAGGCCTCTACCATGCTCTTTGAATAGGAACTCAGCACCAGACCCCCGTGCCTGTGCTGAAATCAGCACTGGTTGGGATGAGGGAGAGTGGTTTGATGGGGGGCTGAGACAGGGCAGCACAGGGTAGGCAAAGGACACTGCAGCCGTTTTCCAGTCGCCCTTACTGCTCACCAGGAGGCCCAGCTGGGCACTGCTGCACTCAAAGGAGAGAGAAAGGCCATGAAACGTGTCCAAGGGAAACTGTATGCCTTATAGGCAACCATCCAGCATCTCCAGGGCAATCCTGGACCTTGCCCACACACCTCAGCCTTTCCCCCATCAGCTTGCTTCCTCAATATATGGGCAAAGCAAATCGTACCAGCACCTCCACAGGGGGCTGCACTCCCCCTTGACCATTCTCAGACCCCTGAAAGATCAAGCCCTTAAAAGCTCCACCTGACTCTTTCTGAACAATGCTCTAACCTCAAATACAGACTAGTGCTGTAAAATGGAGGACTTCATATGGAGCACAGCACATGCTGCGTGGGCCTTAATGAACAGTAACAGCATTTCGACTGCGAGGCACTGAATTTGGAGGGAGGAAACCACTTGCCTGAGAAATCGTTAATGAAGCTAATGCCATGGGGCCAATCCTGTACTCCGCAGGTGGTTAAAACTCCAACTGACCTCAAGTGATTGCATCAAGAGCAAGGACACAGGGCTGTAGGCAGACAACGTGGATCCAAAAAGTGACTTACCCAAAAGAGCAGAATTGCCGTCGCCCAACGGGAACCTCTGGTAGCGTGGAATATTGAAGGGGGGCAACAGGTAGAATTTCTTTTCCAAGAGAGGCTCTAAGCGAGAGGCAGAGGGGTCTGCAGGATGGAACAGGTTATAGACCTGCTGACAGGCTGGTCTGAGCTGAAAGACTATGAAGAAAAAGAGGAGGAAAAAAAATGAGACACACTTCCAAGTATTACAAAGTTATTTGCAAGGCTTGTATTAATTTGCAAAGGGTTATTTGCTATCTGTAAAATGCGCTGCTAGGGAAA